GTCTGGCCCTGGAGGAGTTACTTAGCACCCCAAATTCCAATTCCTTGATTGCTGCAACAAATTAGCCAAGAGTCTCTGCAAATTGCTCAATTCTGAGAGAGAAAACCACCTAGGGAAATAGGTGTTTAAATTAATCTATTTAAATTAATTTTTTGAGGTAACACCAGTTGATGACATATTGATCTCAGGTATACAACATGATAATTTGATATCTGTATTCTCTGTTGTGTGCACCATGGAAAACACTGTGCAGGTTTCTTTAAGAAGTAAGAATAGAATGATTATATGACCCAGCAATTATTCTTCTGGGCAGCTACCCCCAAAATATGAAAACACTAATTCATAAAAATATATGTATGTTCCTCGCAGCATTATTTATAATAGCTAAGGCATGAAGGTAAACAAAGAAGATGTAACACACATACAATGGAGTACTACTCAGCCATAAAAAGATGAAATATTGCCATTTGTGACAACATGAATGGATCTTGAGGGTGGGATGCTAAGTGAAATAAGTCAGATGGAAAAAGACAAACACTGTTTGTTAATCTTTTAAAATCTGAGCACCTAGCTCCTCCTGCCCTCCGGAATACACACATGGGCAGTCCTGCAGAACTCCACCTACTCTGGGAGTTGGCTTTAATGTTTTAGAAATAACTTCTTCACTTTCCCAGCAGCCCTTAGCAGAAATCCAGGGTAAATGGATAACTAAAGAGTTGGTCCAGACCCATTTATGTGTCTGCTATTCTAGAAAGTGCTCACTGACTTTTTGCCCAGGGTGGCCTTGGGAAGGGCAGGGACACCCCAGAGCGTCAGCAGGCTCCTGCCCGAGGGGCACAAAAGACCTCAACCAAGGACTGGCTAATAAATGCCTTAAAGGCAGTGTTTCAGCATTTCCTCATGGGGACCCACTTTAAGAGTCCAGGAACTTGGATGTTTTTGAGGTCTAGTTGAGGCTCCATGTAAAATGAGGTCCATTTAGATGTTACCTCATTATACCCTCCCAGCCAGCACGTGCTTAGCTCCAGGCCAGAGAAGTTCTTACCACCACCCCTCCCTCAGCTATGCTTTAGAGGGTCCTGCTCTGGCCTTCCCCTGGTGCTGTCCCTACTCACGGGGCAAGGCCAAGGGGGATTCCCAGAGCCTGTGCTCCCCCTCATATCCAGCACCAGGTCCCTGGGACCCCAAAATTCCTTATTTAAGCAGGCCAAGCCAGTTCCCTGGAGTCTGTCCTGACCAGGGCACTGTACCACTAATGTGCCCACACCTAGGCCCGAGGGCGGTCCAGTGGTTGCTGTTGATGGGGGTGTGAAGAGAGCCAGGGCATATGGGCTAAGGCATCCCCTCATTACCCTTGACCTCGATGACACGGGTGCCAGTTCACCAACTGGACAAGTACGCGTATACATTCTGACAGAAGGAAACATGTTAGTACTGACTGAAAGCCTACTTTGTCACCTTATATAACTGTCTCCAAATACCAAGATTATTATACCCACTTTACAGACTAGATACAAGCCCATGGTACTAATTCACTGTGCCAACATCCCCACTTGAACCTCTGCTCTCTGGCTGAAGAGATTCCTTGTGTTCCCTGTGCTGGTGGGAAATAAATCCCACCCCTCCAGAGTTCAGATTTGGTGGCCACCCCTGAAGTGCATGGATTTTTCTCATCAGACTCTTTGGACCAGAAGCAGATCTTGCAAGGGCTGGGGGTGGGGAGAGCACATCAACTGCTATGAGGGAACCTGAGCACAGGAAAGAGAGCAGATCCATTTAAACCACAGAAAGACACGGGAGAGTGAGCAAGCTGGGACAACACTGTGAAACTTTCAAAGGTTTTTTTGTTTTTGTCAGTTTAAAACTGAACCTCTCATTTTGGACAGACACTGAGGGCATCTGTTCTACAATTTAGTCCTCATGCCAAGTCTTTATAGGTAACTACTCCCATTTTGCAGATATGAAAGGCGAGGCTCAAGATGTGTTCACTTGAATTCCGCCCCCACACCACTATTTAGTCCCTCTCTGGAAACAAAACCACTAGCAAACAATCTGATACCATTTGTATGGTTTAGACAAAAAAGTGGATGGCCTGACCACTTAAGAGAACTTTTCCTATTCCAGTTTTATTTATTAGCAAAGAAAGGGAATACAATCACACATGCAATGTTTGCTTGACACTTGCAGAGCAGCTTGCTCTTGCTTTCATTTCCTCCTCTCATCATCACACGTGTGGGCCTGGCCCAACCCTCCCACGGCCAGCAGAAAGCTAATAACTAAAGCAAGAGAGGGACCTTGGTGACAGTGCCCATCTTCTAGACACCCAATCCTGTGATTCTGACTCAGCAGGAGCTGCCTTTCCCTGAATGCTCTCATGCCCTAATCCTTAGTCCTTTATTTCCTTAGCAGCTGACACAGAAGTCTGGGGACAGATATGTTGATGACATTATTTGCTCCGGGAGCCAGCCTGGCATAATCTGACAAAAACCACGTGGACCATGTCCCAGTACCATCGGGTGACCCTTTACTACTTACGGTGGACTCGACCAGCGGACACACTCTGGTGTATGGACCGAGGCAAAGGCCGGGTCTGTGTGCCGTGACACGTGACGCTACCCAGACAGCTAGCCAAGAGTGTGGTTCCTGGAAGCAGCAGGTCCAAGCTTGCTAATCAGTCCAGTGTTCTGAGGGAAGAAAACTCCTGCCACTGAGTTGGGAGCAGAGGGTTCTAAGAATAAATTGAGACTCTGCAGACTTAAACTTCCCTGGAGAAATAGAACTTATGTTAAAAAAACAGTTACTATTTCCAACAAGGAGCAGCCCATTTACAGGCAGTGAAACATAAAAAGTATCCCTCATCTTTAAGCTCTGTAAGGGAGCATAAAAGAGAGGGATGACAGGATGTTTTGAATTTCTCAGAAAGAATCTCAGATTTACAGGCAGAGCCTTGTGCTCAGTGTTATATAAATAGATTGCCTGTATAGGGGTGATGCAGTAAGGTGTGAGAGTTCCTATACATGTTGGCGAATTTAAGATGCACAGGCTTCTGACTTTGGATAAATCGAGTGAGGTCAGAGCTGATGAACAGCAGCTCCTGGATCTTTCTTGGAGGGTGAGAAAAATATAACCAGTAATTAAAGTCATGTTTTCCATTAATAACAACAAGCGAAAAAAAAAAAAACACCAACAATGCAATGCCACATGTCTAGTTTCATGCAAAACTTTCCACATGAGAAGCTTATTCTGGTAAGGCAACCATCAGTTTTCATCACAAAAACAGTGGCCTTTTCATATCTAGCTCACTTAAGGGGACGTCCGGGGCCCGTGCACCCTGTAAATACTGCTGCAAGCTTGGCTCCTCTTTTCTTATTTCTACACCAACCACCTGGAACATTTTACACACCAGAAGCTGAGCTCAAAGTATGGAACACTTTACCAGAATCAGCCCCGAGAGCTGGTAAACTTCCAGGTGGCAGTCAGCCTGAGGGGGCTGGAAAAACAGACCAGCCAACCAACAGAACTACTGGACTCCATGCTACTGCATGGGTAAGTACAGATAGCTACTTGTTTCTCAAGTTTGAACTTCATACGCCTAGGCATTTGGGGCACTATGACAAACTGGGAATAGCAGAAAGAGCACTGGATTCAGAGTCAAAAAAGGGAGCTTCTAGTCCTGGCTCTGTAACTGGTCCAGCTGAGTGAGGCTTTGGGTGTGTCACTTAAACTTCTGTTCCCCTTTGCTTCTGCAAGCGCGGATGGGAGTAAGGTTAATGCTGGGTGTTCCTAATCATGCTATTGTGGGTGGGGAATGAGGTAGAGTGGGACCAAGAGCTGTGGGGTGTTTAAAACATACGCAAATGTAAGGGATTTGTATATGGGAAGGCTAGAGTGTTCCCTTTCTCTTCTTGTAGGCAAAGGAAGGTAGGAAAAGTCCAAGCTTATTTTATCTGTAAGAAAGCTCATCCTATTTTATAGAACCCACCTATTTTATATTGATAATAAGACAGAACACGATTGTATAACAAGAATCTGGATGGGTCATCATCCTTTCTAGGAAATCAACACCAGGTTTAACCACTAAGTAATATCACTGATTTTTAAATAAATATATCTAAATGGTGTGGTCCAATCCTGAGGAGTGAGTAGTCACACTTTATTTAAATAATATCCCCCATGACTCAAAAAAAACTTAACTCTTCTTTTGGAATTGTTCCTAGAGCCTCTGACACACTCTTTGAATATGCCTTAGGGTGACAAAAATTTTAACCTTTGTGGACAATAATGACTTTGTAAACAGCATGAAGTTATTTGGCACAAAGGTTGGTAAATGGGCTAAGTAATGCCATTTTTATTTAAATTGAAAAAAGGCTGTGAGTATCAGATAGGAAGTCTATCTTTCTTTTAGTTCCAACAGAAGAGTTACAAATAGCAGCTTTCAGGAATTGGCAGTATTGTTGGAAAGGGCTGGCTCCATCCTAAAGTGATCACATAAGAGGAGAAAAGCCATTTGGAAATGTATTTCTACATTTTTTTAGTCATACCATTATTTATCTTGCAAGACTGGCATTAGGCTTTGCGTTTCTAGAAAAAATGGGTATTGCAACTAAGCAATTGTTTGATCATTTTATCACAGCTTCTTCAGGCTTCTGAATCCCTTATTTGCATTTGAATTAACAGTCTAGCAATACTAATGTTTCCAATGAATTAACAACTGGGTCTAGTGGAAATACACACCCATCAGATTCAGTTCTAACCAATAGACTCTGCTCCCTTAAAAAGTTTGGAATTTTTTTTCAGTTATGAAAAATGTATCTAAAAATTAAAATATCACTAATATCATTACAATGTAACCTGAAACAACTGCCAGAGTGTTGCTTCTGGTGCAAATAATTTAAATTGTGTTATTTTAAAATAAACACAGTCGTACTTTTATTCACTGAATATGGTACACTGTGGGTACTTCGGCGTTAAATGATAAACAATAACTTTTTAATGGAAAGTATTATTTTCTCTACCCCTTTTTTATTGTGATAAAAGTCACACATCTAATTATTTGATCATTTTAAAGTGAACAATTCAGTAGTATTTAGTACATTCCCAGTGTTCTGCAACCATCACCCCTATCTAGTTCCTAAACATTTTCATCACCCCAAAAGGAAACCCTATACCCATTAAGCAGTCATTTCCCATTCTTCCCTTTCTCTAGTCCCTGGCAACTATTCATATGCTATTTCTATAGTTTGTCCACTTTGGACATTTTGTATAAATGGAACCTCACAATATGTGGCCTTTGGGTATAGCTTCTTTGACTTAGCATAGTGTTTTCAGGGTTCATCCATGCTGTAACATGTGTCAGTACTTCATTCCTTTTTGTGGCTGAATAATTTCATTGCATGGATGTACTATATACATGTGTCCATTCATTCATTGATGGATAGATAGGTTGTTCTCACACTTTGGTTATTCTGAAAAATGCTACCATGAACACAGGTGTACAATTTTTTCTTTGAATGTCTGTTTTCAATTCTAGAATTTCTGGGTCATATGGCAATTATATGTTTAACTTTGAGAAACCACCAAACCTCTAACTCATTTTTACACTTACAATTTCAAGGTGGCTTAATTACCAGACAGTTAGAAGCAGTTGGACTCCTGCAGCCAAACCCCAGGCTCAAAGAGGTCTCTTTTTCAGAATCACTGAGCCAAGCTTGTTCCAACACAAGCTTACAGGCAGGGCTTTGGACAGCTTTCTCTGCTGTTCTACCTGTCACAACATGAACTGGCTGGGCAAGAATACCTTTCTGCCTCCTAGGCATCCTTGGCTCTCCATCATGTTGCACATGCTTTCAGAAATAAAAAAAAAACAAACAGTTAACTACCTAACTCACTGGCTTCTCACCAAGAATCAGGAGTCTATGTAGAAACCATATTTGGCAGCCAACGATAGGCTCCTGTCCTGGGCAGTGGTTAGTCCTTCCACGGTTGGGGCAGACAGAGGCTTCCAAATACCAGTTGAGACAATAGATCTTCCATCCAGGGTAGACTGTTTACCAAGCATTTTGCCTGAAGGTACAGCCCAGAGATTCTGACTCTATCAACCCACAGATACCAGAGTTGATTCTACCCCACTATGTACGAGTATATTGTAAGCTGTCTGCTCTATGAGCTTGGCCAGGACACTGGGAGATAATCCTACTACAGGCATTGTTTATTGCAGCCAATTTACTGAGTCATGAGGATCCTCAGCCGTCAACCCAGCTCAGACAGTAATTGATTAGCATTGATTTTTTAAATATTTAAACCTGTTTCATGAGCTTCTCAGAATGCTGACCTCTTACCTCAACTGCCTAACACATAGGTAGTTTCTGAGCTATAGGAGCCCAAATCAAGGAGCATTACTGCCAAAAACAGAGGCAGACCAAAATGGCTTTTCCACTTGAAACTAAACACTAAGAATGAAGAAGTTGGTTTCCGGGGTTTTTGCTAGCAGTCTCTGCCAGCCCAGCTATCAGGTTGCTCGTTTCCTAGCAGCCCTTTCAGGTGTCCTGGCCTGAATCTGCTGTTAGGACAGAAGAAAGTCCCTTGGCTGATCACATCCTCTGTAGCCTGGCAGGAAACCTAAAGTTTGCCTGCGCCAGTCCTCGGGTCTGTTTGCTTATCTGCTTCCTTGTAGGGAAGAGTCTGCATCACAGTGTCCAGTTTAGGGGGATTTTCACCATGACCTCACCCTGCCGCAGCTAACGTCCACTGATTTCTGCTTCGCCTGCCGCAGTTCCGGAGGGAATCCACATTAATGTGACATTAGCCAACGCCTCCTAGCACATCTCAGTTAACGTCAACTCCAGCCAGTTCTTCTCATTGTGTGTGTGTGGGTGGGGGTTGGTAAGAGGAGTTGCAGGGGTCTGAAAATGCCAACAAGAGCTCGGTGGGTGGATTGATGACGTTTGGTTATTTTCAGGGCTTGGGAGAGCAGGATGTCAACAAAACCACCTTAAGAAAATGTACCAAAATCTTCCAGGCTCGCGCTCGCTGTTTGAATAACTTTGGAGGTAATGGCTTCCTAATAAGGCGCACAAACTGTGACAGCAGGCTTCGGGGATGAAACCTGGGGAAGAGAGGAGCAAGAGCTGTCGGAGAGTCCAAGAACCGCGTCGGAGGTCTGGTTAAAGGCCTACAGGGTCCCGGGAAACTGGCGCAACCAATTAAAAGGAAACAGAAAGGAGCCGCAGCCGCGCGCTCTGCCCCACCGGAGATCACCTGACCAAGTCGGCCGCGCGCACCGGAGCAAGAGCGTGCCTCGCCCGCAAGGGGCGGAAAGGAGGGCAGGGGCCGCTGCGTGCGTGCGGGTTCCCGGGAAGCAGCGGGCGCGCGTGCGCGCTCGGGGCCACCGCCCCTCCCGGGCCCGCCCTTCTTCCCTCCCTCCTTAGCTTTCCCGGCCCGCCCTGCCCGGCCCGCCCTGCGAGTCAGTTCGCTTGTTCCCTCCCTCCCCCGGCGCGCTCCGGCCGCTGCAGCGCTCCCCGCCCTCGAGCCTTGGTGCCGGAGTCGTCCGCCGCCCGAGGAGGAGGTGGAGGGAGCCAGAGGGGCCCGCCGAGGCGGCGGCGGCGGCGGCAAGATGGCGGACTTCCTGCCGTCGCGGTCCGTGCTGTCCGTGTGCTTCCCCGGCTGCGTGCTGACGAGCAGCGAGGCCGAGCAGCAGCGCAAGTCCAAGGAGATCGACAAATGCCTGTCTCGGGAGAAGACCTACGTGAAGCGGCTCGTGAAGATCCTGCTGCTGGGCGCGGGCGAGAGCGGCAAGTCCACCTTCCTGAAGCAGATGCGAATCATCCACGGGCAGGACTTCGACCAGCGCGCGCGCGAGGAGTTCCGCCCCACCATCTACAGCAACGTGATCAAAGGTGCCGGGCGGGGGTCGGAGCCGGGGGACGGAGGGCCGGAGCCCGGGGAGGCGGCGGCGGGCGCGGGGCCGGGCACCGCCCTCGTTCTCTTGGTCACTGGCGGAGGACCCGGCCCAGCGGGCGGGCGGGAAGGGGGCGCGCCCGGGGATATGGTCCTGCTGCCCTCGTCCCTTAGGGGAGGGGATACCCCGCTGCTCCCCTCTTTCCTTCTTGGTGCCCCGGTGGGAGGTACGGATGGTCCCCCACCCCGCCCTCAGAGAGGGAAGTGAGGAATGCCGGGGTGCGGGGTGACATGCCTGTCTTCCCTCCAGATGGGGCAGGAAGACCCGCGAGACAACCCCAGATCCTCCTTCCCCACCCCGGGCCCCGGCGGTGCCTACCCAACCCCACCCCGCGGGTGGGTGACCCGAGTCACATGGGGTCGGTCTGCTCCCAACTCCCTGCTTTGGCTGACTCCTGAGCAAGGGAGTTCTGGAACCAACGCAGTAAGGAGACTTTTGCCCGAGACTTGTCAAGGGCAAAAGGTGACAGCCCCTGGCCCTTTTGGACAAGGATATGAAACTTGAGGGTGTCGTGTGTTTGCTGTGCATTTATCATGGAGCTGTAGACTGTTATAGTTAGTCTAAAAAAATTAGCATCAGTGGTTTTTCGCCCCGGTGCCACGGCTGGGCAGGATGTTTGCCTATAATCACTGTGCAACACGTTTCTCTCTCTCTCTCTCTCCCTCTCCCTCTCTCTCTCTCTCTCCCCCTCTCCCTCTCCCTCTCTCTCTCTCTCTTTGCCTCTTTGCGCCTCTCTGCCTCTCTCTGCCTAACTGGAGGCCGCTGTGGGGGGTGGGGGTGGGGTTGTGTGTGCCACAACTCGCTTCTATTCTATTATATAAATGAAACCGTGCCTTGATATACAGACTCCTTGGCTTGAAAGTTATGTGGAGCCGTTATAGGTAGTTAATGAATCAGTGTCAGCTTGGATCATAAACTCTATTTGACATTATTTTTTAAAAAATCAAAGTTATACTTTATTCTTAAGTGAAAAATACCCAAGAATTGTATTTCTGGGATTTCAGAGAATTCGAGAAGATGGTTTTTATTTTGTCATTTGGGCGTTATGCAGCACTGATTTTTTTTAGTGTCAGATATTTTCTACTTTAGAAAAGATATTTGAGCAAAATTGAGAAACAGAGCCTGGCACTTAAGGTGCATTCAGATGCTCTTTATTTCACCGGGGTAGCAATTATTTAGGAGTTTGCAACAAATTTCAAGTCTTTTCAGACATTTTTTTCTTAAGTGGGATTTTTTTTTGTTTGGGAAGTACTCAAGCAGCTCCTTTGGGTCACTTTTCTCTCCCGGGACTGAGTAGAGGAAAACTGTCTGGGAGTGGTGGTGGGGGGAGGGGCGTGTTGTGTGGGGGGTAATGACCAGAGGAGAGCACCAGGTGGGGGGCTCACAGACCATTACGAGCTCGGAGCCCCAGTCCCACTGCAGTTAAAGTGTACAAATCAGTTGTATTTATCGTATTTTAATGTTTAGTACAAAAGTAATTGAGGTCTTTTTTAAGGCAGCAGACTCTGCCTTGCCAGTTCTTAATTAAAGGTACTTTTGTATCCTGATGCGGCAGAACTTAAGGGATTATGTCAATGAATACAGTCAACATGTTAACTGATTAAGAGCCAAGTAAACACTTGTTTCTTAAATTTGTGGATGGTCTGAAGTGTGACCTATTTTGAGCATTGATTATGAGTTGAAGTATGTCTTTGAGTGGACATCTCCTCATTTGAGTTGGCATGATCAGAACATTGACAGCAAAGACAGTTTTTCGACTATCCAAACAAATGAGTTCTTGATAGTCATGTGACTGTTAAAATAGACCAAAGATAATAGTTTAGTGATAGAATTAGTGGTCTTGACTAATCTCTCTGAGTTGAAATCTGTTTTTATATGTTTTTTTGCATTTGGTCTTCCTTTTAGAAGAGTCTATTGCTATCCTGTGACTTACACTGATTTGAAGCTTGGTATGAGACAGGTGGTTTGAGTTTTGAATGTGTTCCTAAACTAGTGTTGGATTAAGCAGGAAGCTTAGGGACCAGCCAGAGCCCAGGGCCATTATGTTTGGTACTTGGCATTTGTTAAATGTCTTTTGAGGGGGCTCAGAAAATCTTGGTTGCAGCCGTTTTCTTCTGAGCCTGGACATGATTTCTGTTTTCTTCACTCGTCTTTGTTCTCTTGTGACTATCTTCTGCCTCAAAAGTTATTTTATAAATTAGAACATGTTAAAATCCTTTGGAGCTATTGTTTAATAGTGTATGCTTTTCAAGGCTCTAATTTTATGATTGTAACTTTGTTTTTTAAACTCTGGGCAGTTACTGATGTTCTTTTGATGTTGGTCTCCATTTTTGGAGGAGATGGGCCTGGAGTAGTTTAGAAGTTTACGAAAATTATTCTGGAATAGAATCTATGAGAATATATAATAACGCCTGTCACACTTTTTTTTTTTTTAAACAAAGGTATGAGGGTGCTGGTAGATGCGAGAGAGAAGCTTCACATTCCTTGGGGAGACAGCTCAAACCAATGCCATGGAGACAAGATGATGTCCTTTGACACCCGTTCCCCCTTGGCGGCCCAGGGAATGGTGGAGACTCAAGTTTTTTTGCAGTATCTTCCTGCTATAAGAGCATTGTGGGCAGACAGTGGCATACAGAATGCATATGACCGACGTCGAGAATTTCAACTGGTAAGAGACTTTTCTTTTAAAATGTTGTGATCCTATTTTAATGGCATTTATTATCTGAGTCTGACACACCTTTTTCACCAACTTACACAATATACTCTGCAGAATTTTAGCCTCAGAAATTGGGGTTGCTATATAGATGAGCTTTTTACTAAGCAAGATAAAAATAAGGTAGACCCTATAGATTCAGTGAAACTGTTATAATTAATTGGTAATTTTTCCTTTTTGAAAGTAAGATTATAATGATTTTTGTAGGCACTTTTAATTTTGCTCTTTTCAAAATAATTATCTCCCAGTTATAGCAATAATATTAACCCTTCTTTTAAAAAAACCTTTTACTCTTGGTCTAAGAGTTCAGTAGCTGAACTAGGTTCAGATGTGCTATTTAGTCTTTAGAGGTACTCATTTTATGATACAGAGTAATAGAGAAAGAGAGTAAAGTTCTTGATAATATTTAACAGTCATTGTGCTTTTTGTATGTTTGCATTCTATTTCACATGTGTGTTTTTTAAGGCCTCTAAGCACATTTTACAAAATAGATCTTTTTTTTTTCCCCAAGCAAAAAATTTACTGGATAAACTAAGCAGGTGTCCTAGTCTTTTGGGGCTGTAGCAATAAACTATGATAGGCTCACAGACAGCAGAAATGCGTCTCTTATAGTATTAGAGGTTGGGGCTGTGCTGTCATATTCAGTATCTAGAGAGGGACCACTTCCTGGTTCATAAATGGCCATCTTCCTGCAGTGCCCTCACTTGGCTGAAATGTTTCTTCTTAAACAGCAAAAAAATCTGTTATTTTTTGGATATCTTGTTCCACATGGGAAGCACCTAGATTTTGTATTTATTTTTTGTACTTTGTCTTAAGACTACCCCCTAAAACTTTTTTGTTCCAAAGCATTGAAGAGAGGGTGGAAGAGAAAGGTTCTGATCTAGGTTAAAGATACAAAAATAATAATTAAAATAGATTTTTAAAAACCAAATGTTTTGTAATTTAATTGTGAATGCTTTGATTGTGTTCTGGGTTTTACTTACCAAAGACAGGAAAGATCCCAGGAATGATAGCAATCTAGACTGTATACAGTTGGAGGCAGATCCAAAATGTGGTACTGTACTGTGATCAAAATGAAGTGACAGTTACAAGTAAAACTGCATAGAAAGTTATTTGATGAGGTCACCGACATTAAAGTGATACACACTTATAGGTGTGGCTACAAAATGATGTACAGCCAGTAGTCTTTGCTATTACAGTTGTACTCAGAAGCAGTCTTAGCTATTAACAGTTCTAGAAAAGTGTTCATAATAACTTTGTATAAAACTGATACTTAAATCTTCCTTTCCCTGAATTATGGCTCTCATTTGCATCATATAACCAAGCACTTGATTATTGCTGTCTTATATAGTTCTCTTCTTTGATATGTGTTTCTTGTCAAGTTAACTTGTCCATTAATGCAAAGTGGAGATTTATCTCACATTATTGTGAAAATTGAGTAACTTGCAGCATTACATATTGAAAATTAGGAATTTAACTTAACAAGTGACCTCCATCCAATTCTCAGACTTGTGGTTGCTTTTTGTCCTTTGGTCAGTGTTTGTTCTATGAGTTTTGGTAGTCTTGCATAAGTTCCCCCACACAACCCCTTCTCATCTCCCTTCACTCCTGTTTTTAAGTGCTGCTTATTCTCCTTTTTTCTTAATTCATTTTCTTAACAAACCACACTTTCCACTCTTAAGTTTTTTTAAGATGTTACTCAACTTTCCAGGTAGGGAAAAAACACCATCTGTAACGGCATCCAGTACACATTGACTGCATGAGGAAACGACTGTGCTCTAAAGTTCTCTGTAGGCAAGTTCCGTAAGTCCATTTAATGGAACGTGGTGGGCTTCCCTGACACTTGAGTTTGGACATTCACATCTTAATGTCTCAATTCAAGACTATCTTGTCATCATTGCTGAGAAAGCATTCCTAAGTATTTGCCATTAAGAACAAATGTGTAAGACCACTCAGGATGAAGACCTGCATGTTCTTGACTTGAGCTAGCTCATACTTCAGGAGCAAAGAAGACATTGGGCAAGGAGAGACAAGTTCTAGAAATACTGTTTTCCTGATAAAAAGTGGGGGCACAAATGAAAAGGAAGAGGGCAAGATCTAATTTTAAAATTCCCGAGGAGCAGGGATTTTTTCCCCCTGTATATCCTCAGCATTGTTCATGGTACCTGGCACCTGGTGTTCAACTATTATGTTGAATTA